AAAAAAAAAAAAAAAAGAATTCCTCATTGTTTGGAACAGTCCCATTATTGGTAGAATACCTCATGTCCCTGATCATTAAATATTAAGAGTACTTCCCCTCAATGACTGTAATAACAGTCCCTGTTAATGTCTAAAATGCCACCTTGAGAGTAGTACAATGTCTACTGAGAACCAGTGTATTAAATGAATGCCTATTATACACAGGCACATGGAAGTACACATAGGGGAGAGAAGCAGCCAATGATTCAGGTGGAATAATGGTAGAACAGAGACATGAAACTAAAAGAACATGAGTGTTTATGAGAACAGCTGGTTATAATGCATTCAGGGTAAAGAGAGTTGAGTTTGGCCAAAAGAGTATACAATGACCAAGCAACTACAAATATTAAAAAGGGAAGCAGCAGATTTAAAAGATAAAGAAAAGTAGGAAAAATAGAAAATAAGGATGTTAAAAAGCCAATATCCCTCAGTATACACCTTCCACTCAAACGAGACTAGTAGTTTCTCTTTTCTCCCAGGACACTGCACTTATTCCAAATCCCAAGATGTTTTCGCACTGCTTTCCTTCTCTTGCCTATGCAAAATATATTTCTCAACAGAATTTAGGCAAAGTTCCATTTTTCTAGAAATTTTTTTTGCAAGCACTCCCACATTTATGACATTTTTCCTTGTAGAAATCCAAGTGCTCTACTACCTGAATATTTATTAACCAGCTACTATGTGCCTATAAGAAGAGCCTTTATTCTTTCCATAGAGAAGATAGCAGTGCTCAAGACTATATATACATTTCTATGAAAATCTACCCCTTGAATACAAAAATAATCCTGTGACCTTACTTACCACCCACTGCCTTACAAGGGTAGTATGAATGATCAATTTCTACTCTAACCCTAAAAGTAAAGAATCCAGAGGTGAAAGTGGGACAGAATTAAGAAGTTCAGTTATTTCAAAGAATTCATTTGGAAAAGAAGATTGCAAACATATACACCCATCTTTAAATGGACCAGCCAACATACAGCTTACTTTATAAGCCAACATATAGTTAATTTAGGATAAATACTGGTAACCTGTAACTTTATCCCTGTCTCTTCATTCTGTATTTTTATATATTTGGTTTGCTTATTTTCTATTAATAATCCAATCACACAATACACATTTTTAGGAATCCACACCATACATCAGATAATATGCTAGGTACTAGCAATTATCGATAAGCTAGATCAATAAGGTCCCTATCATCCTGGAACTTAGAGATTAGTAAAACAAGCGGATTTTAAACAAAGATGCAAATAAAGATGAAAATAAATATATAATTATAAATCGTGAAGCATAACTTGAAGGAAATGTACAAAGACAGGCTTATCCCTTAAGTAGGCCAACTAAAGTGACTTCCCTGAGCCCCATGCAAGATAATGAATATTATACTTTTTGACTTACAGTGTGTGCACATACACATATATAACACACATCAGTGTGCATGTACATGAGTGTGTGTGTGTTTGAATATATTCCACATAACAGAGCAGGTCTGCATCAGGTGAATTATGCCAACACATACTCCTCTAGTGGCAGCCTTAAACAAGGGCACAACTATACATAAATGCTATACAAAGGGCAGTTCCACCAATACAAATGCTATTATATTCATAGTCATACTAGTGGTTCTCAAATGCCAAAATTTGGATTGATGGCCAAGAGAACTGCATCAAAACCACCTGGAAACTTGTCATAAATAAAAAATTTCCCACTCTCAATTGTCAATAATTTCAATTTAGTACCTAGAATGAATTTTTATAAAGTTCCATCTACATAATTATGATACTGTTAGATGTGAGCCTTTAGTCAGACAGTGCCTTGACTCATTACTTAACTGTTCCATAGTTCTTTTATCATGCTCAAAGCCTGGCAAAGTACTCAAACTATGCTACTCAGTGCCAGTAAGCACAAAATAAATTATTTTCAAATAAATAAGCAAAGATATTGTAAGGAAAGTTATGATTTTTTTGTTCTTGTTGTTTTCTCAAATACAATGACACGCCTTATCAAGAAGCTTTCACTTAGGAAGAGAAACGACAAACTCTGAGACAATGCTTCTCAAAATGGAGGACACAAACTACGAGTGGTATAGCAGATAATTTAATATGGTACCCCAAGTGATTTTAGATGATATACAAGATTATTTTACATGGCACATGGACATACACTAAATTACACTGAATTACAAAGAAAAAAATGTATTATCTTTTCAATTCTCTTTCAGTTAGTTATTGTTGTGTCTTCCACACCTATCGCTGCTTATCTCATTTTAAGAAATAGAGAACATGCCTCCAAGCCTTTGGAAAACAACTGTTATCTAGCCTGAACTTAGTAACATTGTTTTGTTCATTGTATCCTTTAGGACTATCATCCATTTAAAACATAGGATACTGATTTTTCATTTATAATAGTGAGATAAATACAAAAGTGAATTTAAAGAGAATAGCATAAATTGCATGGAGATCCTGTAAAAATTATAAGGATGCTCTATAGATGACTGAAGTTTAGAAACAGTACTGTGTGGGGGCACCTGGGTGGCTCGGTTAAGCGGCCGACTTCGGCTCAGGTCATGATCTCTCGGTCTGTGAGTTCGAGCCCCGCATCGGGCTCTGTGCTGACAGCTCAGAGCCTGGAGCCTGTTTCAGATTCTCTGTCTCCCTCTCTCTCTCTCTCTGACCCTCCCCCGTTCATGCTCTGTCTCTCTCTGTCTCAAAAATAAATAAACGTTAAAAAAAAATTAAAAAAAAAAAAAGAAACAGTACTGTGTGAGGTATTACTAAAAGTTACAGTCAATTTCTCTATGTCTCTCTCACACACATATATACATATACATACACAAACACATTCAATAAGTAATTAATCTAAATGAATAATCAAAAGCCACAAACTGTTACAGGAAGACAGTCAATGAAAAGTCTATTCTACCACTTAACAATGTAGCCAAAATAATGATATTCCATGATATGACAATCACTGTTTGTATATTTTCTCGACGAAATGATTATGATAATCTCTGACTACACATATAAATAATGTACATATGCTTTTATGTGAAGCCAGGAGAATTACCATTCAGTAATTTATACTACATACCTTATAATCCTTGGGTCGGTAGCAACCAAGATGAGAAAGATCTGTAAAAGGGTATATCAAAGAATTAAACAATAAATATTTCATACTAAAAAGAAGAAAATTTGGGTTCATTTTTAGTTTTTGCAATTCTATTTCTATGATTATAATTTCATACAGCAGTTTTCAGAAATACCTTAAAGTCCATTAACAACGTTTTATAAGTAAAGATGATATAACACAAGTTAAAATCTGTGTCAGTTCTTGGGGCACCTGGGTGGCTCCTACAGTTAGGCATCTGACTCGATTTTAGCTTGGGTCATGATCTCACAGTTTGTGGGATCAAGCCCCACATGGGGCTCTGTGCTGGCAGCATGGAGTCTGCTTGGGATTCTCACTCCCTCTCTCTCTGCCCCTCCTCTGCTTGTGCATGCTTGTGCTCTCTCTCTCTCAAAATAAATAAACTTTATTTTAAAAATCTGTATCAGTTCTTCAATAATTAAGTGATTCCACAAATACTATTTTCATTAGAGTAGGCTATATCAGAATATAGACCGGAATAATTTTTTTGTTGCTAATCCAATTTGCCTATATGAAATGGATAATCTTTAATTGATAAACCAGTTTATGACAAAATATAATTTGAATGTATATATTTGATAGATATTATCAAACTGTATGTGAATCCATGCTTGATTTGAGTGAGTATAATGGAAACAGGACCAGCTTCAGAGTGTGGTAGCTCATGTGGTAGCATAAGTGTATAGACCTTGTTGACAAATAGATCTGCATTATGGTCCAGTCCCCAGCACCTCTTGTATAACTTCAGCCTCATTATTCAACCTTTCTAAGTCTCAGATTCCTCATCTATCTCATCATAATCTGCTTTAAATATTATATTAGAGATCACATGTAAGGCATTAAAATAAATGTTAGCTACTATTATTAACACCATCATCAACATCATTACTGTCAAATTCTAAGTCAACAAGCCTAGCTGCAATTTCTGACTCTACCACTTATCGAACATATTGCCTTGATCAAGTTATAGAATTAATCTGTGTTTCTTTCCTCATTTTAAAAGTATGAAGATGGGGCGCCTGGGTGGCTCAGTCGGTTGAGCGTCCGACTTCGGCTCAGGTCGTGATCTCGCGGTCCGTGAGTTCGAGCCCCCCCGTCGGGCTCTGTGCTGACAGCTCAGAGCCTGGATCCTGCTTCAGATTCTGTGTCTCCCTCTCTCTCTCTGACCCTCCCCCAACTCATGCTCTGTCTCTCTCTGTCTCAAAAATAAATAAACGTTAAAAAAAAAATTTTTTTTAAAAAGTATGAAGACAATGGCTACTTTGCTTCACAGAGTCATAGTAATGATTAAATTACACAGCTTATAAAAGTTTCTAGCACAGTATCTGTGCTAGATTATAAAACTATTCTAAATCTCTCCCAGGGTAAGGACCACTATATTACACATGCAGATTTTGGGTTTTTACTCATTACTTAAAGAAGTCAACATTTAACTACTATAATCTCTATATATTGACATTCAAGCACATCATGACCACTACTTCTCATACATTCTAGTCAAAAGCACTCTAACATTCTATATTTTACTTTCCCATGCCATCATATCAAAAAAAAAAAAAAAAAAGACTATATAGAGACCTAGTCTATATTCAGTCAATTAATCACCTATCTTTTACGGCACAAGATCTCGTTTGTTTTCCAAGTGTCCTGAATCATCCTAGAGAATAGCTGAAACATCAATGTCTCACACAAGGCCAACTTCACCATGTAATTCAGTAAGACTCAACTTACTTCAAGGGCTTTTCAAAATTACAAATAAAATAAATCCCATCTCAACTCCTCTTCCATAAAGTCTAATAATGTACAGCATGGCCACAGGAGCAGGAGAAATAAAAGAATGATAAGGACATAATGAACCTAATTCTCCACACATGTTAACTTTGAAAATTAAGGTAATAATTTCTGAACTTGGTATATGTTCTTTCCTGCAGCTAATGTAATATGAAAAGTATCAGTGTATTAAAACATTTATAAACTTACCCTAATACGACAGATTTGTAATTTTTTTATTTTTAGAAATCAAGCTGTTACTGAGGTTCCCAATGTTTGCCCTAAATCACTCTTACCAATAATTACTCACTAACTATCTTCTAAAAGCAGGAGATAAAGGACATAAAAAGTCATGGCCCGCAGTCCTAAAATGCTTGTACTTTACTTGGGTTAAGTTATACAAAGTTGAATAACAGCATCATATAAGAAGAGTGTGAAGTCAGAAAGGTACAAGCAATTAATGCAATTAGTAAGTCCTATCAGAAATAAATCTCTCAAAACTAAAGCAATCAGAAAAAAATTCCTAAAGGACGAGAAAGCTAACCTGGACCTTAATGCATGGACCACACTTAAGAAAAGTATGAAGAAAAATTAAAAGCTAATTCAGATTAGTGTGGGTAATGTGATATGTGTGTGTGATCTTGACCAACTTTGACTTTACTTCTTTAAACCTCTTCATCTGTAAAATAATAGTTTCTAACATTCTTGAGGTTATCTTAACTAACCAATAAAATAGTAGTACTTAAAATAGAGGCCAGCAGAAAATACACATGCAATAAATATTGACTATTATTTGATTCTCTAATAACCTCATGAAATAGATGTTATGAACTAAATGCCATATCCTCCCAAAATTGATATGTTGAAGCCCTAACCCCCAAGGTGATGGTATTTGGAGATGGGACTTTTGGGTAGTCATTAGGATTAGACTGGTCACGAAGGTAGGTCCCTCATGGTAGAAAGAGTGCCCTTATAAGAGACACCAGAGAGCTTGCACACATGCATGTGCTTGCTTAAGCAAGCTTTGTGCTTGCTTGATTTATTTATCTGCATGTGCAGAGCTTGCAACTCTGTTATCAGCCAATTCCTTCTATCAACTTAATTCTTGAGCCCCATTCTGATGGTTACTGCCAACATGTGTTCCCTATGAGTCAATCCCTATCTTGGCAACCTGTATACTATCCTACGTTGAAGGGTACTATCATCTTCCTTTTTCCTAATTTCAAGGAATTGAACTCCATTCTGGTAGTTAGTGCTACTCTATTGCAAAACATTCCTGTTGGCAAATATGTGTACCTATGAACCTTCAAAGAGCATGCCCCTGGAGTCCTTTATCAGCAATTACCCTACTGCTATCCCAATGCCCACACAACACCCTAAGGTTGGCTTCTGCTCTCCTGTGAATCTTCATGGAGCACACAGCCATGAATTTGCTATATGCCAGTCTCTATTACTGGAAGCAAAGCTAAGAAGTCCAGCTTTATAAAATAAAACCAGCATTTAATATCCCTCAGGGGATCCAACCTTCTAAAAAGGAAAGACACATAACATGTGTTTTCTATCTCTGGTTCACTTGTGATACATTGCCCGGAAACTGTTTACTCTGACCTCTGATGTTCTCATCTTTCTTATTACTAATTTTGTCTGAAGTCTCAGTAGCAAAAGTCTCAGACTTTCCCCCTCACTATTTTTTTCTTGTCTGAAGTTTAGCAAACAGCAAACTTATCAGTGATTGGAAGGGTGATGGTCATCAAAAAAGATAAATAAATACCTAATAAGCACATGAAGAAAACATTAAATGCCATTAGTTAAATATAAATTACAATTGCAGTGAGACAAAGGGAATAACAAGTGTTGTCAAAGATGTGGAGAAATTGGACCATCATACACTGCCGGTGGGAATGGAAAATGGTACACTCATGTTGGAAAACAGTTGGCCATTTCTTAAAAAGTTAAACATAAATTTACCAGATGAACTGGCAATTCCACTCCTAGGTATCTATTCCAAAGAAAGAGAACGATGTATCTATGCAAAGACTTCAATGCAAACGTTCAAAATAGCATCCTCCGTAATAGCCAAAAAGTGGAAACAATCCAGGGACTCAGGTTGGGAATATACATTTACTGCCAATGGGTATGAGGAAACTCTTTTGGATGATTAAAATATTCTAAAAATGGATTGTGGAGATTTTACAATGGCGCAAATTCAAAATCCTTCAGTTTTGTGCTCAAAACAGCTGAATTTTATGATATATAAGGTATAGCTTACTAAAGCTGTTAAAGATGTTTAATAAATAATAGAGAAATGAAGAAACTAAAAAAGGAGTTCCCAAAAATGACACAGTTCAGATGCCCACTGGTCTATGAGAGGAGGAGGCACACATGTAATTAAAGACAAAACAAAATATTTTGTTAATAAGTATAAACATGATGATATGCTATTTTACTCAGAACAGTAAAATGTTACCATTTATTGCTATCTATTCAAATTATGACATATTAGGATTTGGAATGTAATTTCCAATTTATTTTACAAACAAAAACCATCAAACCTAGGGATTAGTGAAAGCTCATAAAGGATTACAATTTTAGGTAGAAATGAAACTCAGAAAAGAATCTTCAAATGAAGGTAATAAGAGAAGTTTCCTCCAAGGAGGAGACAGAATCTAACGTCTTTTCAAATTCCAAGCAAATAAAAAAGGGACCAGGATGATGCCTTCAATTTCCTTTTCAAAAACATCAATGATTGGATAAAGCTTATAAACATTCTTGCAGCACAAGACATGTTGCATCTCTTCAAAGGGACTGCACAAATTACAATTAGAATGATCCACTATGGAAATGCCAAAGAAAGAAAAAATGTGCTTGAAAAATGTATCTTAAAAACAAAACTAAACACCTGAGTGTAAGTAGAGAAAGTAGTAGGAGGGTGGGAGGAAGGAAGTTGTGGTGAGAAGCCCTGGACCCCAGACTGACCAGGGCTGTTCTGGAACTCTTTAATAAGCCACTTAACCTGTCCAGGCCTCTCTGTCATTTTTCTTGATCAAATATAGTTAAATTCATCCTCACGCAATTATTATGATGACTAAAATAGTAATGGCGGTGAAATGGTATCCTATAAAAACTTAAAAATTTTTAGGCAAGATAATTTGGCAAGAAAATGTTTAAGAATTTCCATTAAAGTAATACTAGTCATTAGTGAAAATTCACTCTTTCTTAAGAGACTCTATCATAAGAAATTCCCACATGTATTTAAATAGTGGATGAGACCCCAAAACACAACCACTCAATTGTCAGAAAGGGGAAAAAAAAAAGGCAGTCAAAAGAATAGGGACTTTAAAGCAGAGAAATGAAATGGAAAAACCCTTTCTTTAAAAGACAAGTAATAAATGTACAAAGAATAGAATTTTTAAAAATCACTGTTTGGCAAACTTTCCAGTAATAAATTATTTCAAGCAAGAATCATCAGTATATGCTACAGGGGTCAAAGTTGAGGAGTAACAGGATGTAATAGTCTCAGAGTATCTCCCCATTAATTACTAAGAGAAGAAATAGCACCTTTGTGACAGAGAAATCTAGCAGACCCCATCTTAATTAAGTAAGCAAATGAATATCACCAGTAACAAAGCAATGTGACATACTTCCTGGCATGTTGCACGCATCGCTTCTGTTGTATTCTCGGGGGAATGAATAACCTAAATCTAATCATGAGGAAAAATCAAACAAACCCAAATTGAGAGACATTCTATCAAATAACTGTCCTGAACTCTTCAAAATTATCAATGTCAAACACAAAAAAAGATTAAAGAACTGATCCATTTTAAAGAAAACTAAAGACACACGGCGACTTAAGGCCATGCGTGACGTGGAATTTCTTTTGCTATAAAGATATTATTAGCACAAGCGGCCAAATGTGACTTAGGTTTATAGATTAGCCTATTATTATTATTATTATTATTATTATTATTATATCACTGTTAATTTTCTGCTTTTCATAATTGCATCACATAAGATAATATCTGTATTAGTCTCCTCGGGCTGCCATAACAAAATGCCACAGACCAAAGGGATTACACGACAGACATCTATCTCTCCGTTCTGGAGGCTGGAAGTCTGAAATCCAGGTGCCAGTGCAGTCAGGTTCCATGAAGAGCTCTGGCTCTGGCTTGAAGGTAGCCATCTACCTACTGCCTGTGTCCTCACAAGGCAGAGAGAAAAAGCAAGATCTCTGGTTTCTCTTCTTATAAGGGCATTGATCCTATCATGAAAGCCCCAACCTCCTAACCTTATCTAAATGTAATTACCTTCCAAAGGCCCTATCTCCAAATACCAGCACATTTAGGGTTAGAGTTTCAGCATAAAAATCTTGGAGGGACACAATTCTGTCCATAGCAGTGTACTTGTCAAAAGAAAGTTAATACACAAACATACATACAGATATGGAGGCAGGGAGGGGAAGGAGCTAGAGAGGAAGAGGGAAAGCAAATATTAGCATTTGAGGATTCTGAAAGGTATAATGGGGATCTTTTATATTATTTCAACTTTTCTTTAAGTCTGAAATTATGTCTAAATAGAAAGTTAAAGGAAAAAATGCGGACCTCACTAATGACCTCTCTGATTGTACTTCACATAGGTAGCTGGCTGCGTCGATCAAAAGTTACTGAAACTTTAACAGTTCTGCTGGCAAATATATTATAATTGTCAAGAGACATCAGACGCTTCAGTGCATTCTAAAAACATCTTCCAAAGAAACATCTACATTGGAGTTATTTTCGATTTTCTTAAACCTTATTTTCCATGGCCATAAATTTCTTCCAAGAGGGGAAACAAATTATAACATCTGTTCCTAATTTCATATAATCTGCTACCATGGTAATAAAAGACTTATTGATTACCACATCTATCTCCCTGTTAACGCTAAAAAAGCTAAATAAATGAGCACAAATTCTGCATGTTCTCAGAGAAGAATGTTTCATTTCAACATTAAAAAGGGAAAGAGAGAGAGAGAGATTGTACACTACAGTTTAGAAACAGAAAGAGATGGGAGCTCACTATAAGTTATGATTGTGTTTTTTTTCACTCTGTCTCATTTTTCTTTTTCTATGCCTTCCTCAGTGTGTAATGAATTCACTTAAAGGCTGCTGGGGAATGTTGCTGACCGACCAGTCAATGACTATAGATATGACACTCAAATATCCCTAATTATAAAATACTATTTAATCTTCTTCCTAAAAGTCATCTTCATTATCACATTGAACTTAAGTAGTAATTTATCTAACCCATAGAACCAGGGCCTACAATAAAAAAGATTCTTATAAATTAAACATAAAAGACATTATCTCTTCATAAATATAATAATAAATAATTATTATATTGACAGCTGAAATTTACTAAGGCCTGTGTGCTAGGGCATTTTACATGGTCACATTTACTGGGTTATCTTCACTTTTTTTTTTTTTTTAATGTTTTTATTTATTTATTTTTGGGAGGACAGAGAAACACAGCATGAGCCAGGGAGGGGCAGAGAGAAAGGGAGACACAGATTCTGAAGCAGGCTCCAGGCTCTGAGCTGTCAGCACAGAGCCCAATGCAGGGCTGAAACCCACAAACCATGAGATCATGACCTGAGCCAAAGTCAGATGCTTAACCGACTGAGCCACCCAGGCGCCCCTCTTCATTCTTTAATATACTGATTATCAAAGTAGTTAAAATGATTTGTTCAAGAATGCCCAATCTATAAATAAGTGACAGAGCAAGTATTCAAATATATGTGTAATTTTATGTCTAAAACCCATAACCTTGAACTTTTTACTATGGTGCTTCCCAAATCTTTTCTACAAACTAAGGGGTATATGTTAAGATAGGAAAATAGTTCCATAGTCAAATAATTTTAGAAATTGTTGAGCAAAACAAAATCAAGTTGTTTTTTTTTCCACTAAAAGGTGTTAGTCTTTAATATGCTACTCTGTATGTTGAATCTCAAAGAGAGAGATTAGTTTATAGCAGCACAAAAATTCTATTATTTTTAAAGTACCTATATGGATGTCCCACAAGTTGTAAAAAAAGTAGCATATGCCTTACTACCTAATAATACAGCAAAGATTCTATTTTAGTTCACTGACGTCAAGTTAAAGGCTTGACTGTAGCCAAGGCAAGTAAAGCAATGAAGAGAAATAACTTTTAGCTTACCATTGTGCATCCTGGACCATCCATCTCTTTCACAGTCTCTGCCCGAAGAACCAAATAAAGCATCAGCCCTGGGACTTGGAGGGTCGACCTAGAAGAAGAAGGATTTCATAAAGTCAAAAAGAACTTAAATGTTCTTCCAGTCTCATGGCACCAGAAAATCAACTCAAGTACATAGACTATTAGTCGTCAGGTTAATGTGATAGTGCCTATGGTTCAGGCATATCCCAAAGCCAGAGCTTAGTTGAGTATTTTGCTGTTCATGTTTAAATAAAATTGAAATTAAACTTCAGAAATCTCTAATTATATACTGAGTCTACTTTCAAATGAACAGATTTATAGTTAAAATGCCCACTACCCCATTGTGTAGGTGGCTTTCCATTACAAAGTTACAAAAAGAGGAATCTATTTTGCCACATTTAAAAATTTGCCACATTTGCTACTTATATAGATGTTGAATCCAAACAGTGTCATTATTCGGCTGTGTTCAGAGCCCAGCATGCGGAGTGCTTCATAGCCTACAGTTAATAACAGTTAAGCATGTTTTCTAATGAAGAATAAAAAAGTCAGAGTGATGTAAATAATAAAAAAGATAGCTCTATTCATCAAAATTAAAAACTTAGTACATTAAAGGGACGATATTAAGAAAGTGAAAAGCAACCCTTGGAATAAAAATAACTTGCAAATAATTATCTATTAAGGCATTAATATCCAAAATATATGACGAAACTTCTACAACTTAAAAAAAACCCTCAATTAAAAAGTGAGCAGAGAAGTTAAATACACATTTCTCCAAAAGATACACAAATGACCAATAAACACAAGAAAAAATGTTCGATATCACTAATCATTAGGGAAATGCAAATCAAAATCATAGTGAAAGATACTACTTCATGATATAAACGTACTTAACACCACTGAGTTATACTTGAGTTTTAACTATGGTGCTTCCCAAATCTTTTCCACAAACTAAGGAGTATATGTTAAGGTAGGAATACAGTTTCACTTAATCACTTAAAAATGATTAAAATAGTAAATTTTATATTGTGTATATCTTACCATAATCTAAAAAAAATTAGTTTTTAAAAAGGAGAGTGAAAAGACAAATATTTATAAATTATGTAAGTATCTAGAATCCTAATATATAAAGAAAATTTACAATTCAACAACAAAAAGATAAACAACCCAATTAAAAATGGACAAAGGACCTGAATGAATGTTTCTCCAAAGGAAATACAGAAATGCCTAACAAGCACATGAAAAGATGCTCAAGATCATTACTTATCAGCAAATGCAAATCAAAACCACAATGAGAAAAAAAAAAAAACCCACAATGAGAGACCTCTCCACACCACCTAGGATGGCTATAATAAAAAGAAAACAAAACAAAATAATAAGTGTTAGTGAGAAGGTGGATAAAGTAAAGCCTGAAACACTGCTGGGGACAAGGTAAAATGGGACCGCCACTGTGGAAAACAGTTTGACAATTTCTCAACAAGTTAGAAACATGCATAGCACATACCATGTGACCCAGCAATTCCACTCCTAGGTATTAAAACAATAGGCACTAAAACAGGTACTCAAGTTGAAGCTTGTGTATTAACATGCCTAGAAGCACTATGCACATAACCCAAAGGTGAAAAAAGCCCATCCATCAACAGATGACCAGATAAACAAAATGCAGTACATGTCCATACGATGAAATATTAGTCGACCAAAAAAGGATCAAGTACTGACACATGCTATACCATGAATGAAAGAAAACACTGTGCTAAATGGAAAAAGCCAGACAGAAAAGTCTACATTTTGTAGGATTCCACTTAGGTGAAATGACAGAAGAGGAAAATCCACTTCCTGATAGAAAGTAGATTAATGGCTGCCAGGGGCTGAGGAAAGGGAGAAATGGTGAGTGAATACTTAATGAGTACAGGGTTTCTGTTTGGGATGATGAAAAAGTTCTGGAACTAGATAGGAGTGACAGTTGCACAATATGAATGCATTTAATGCCACTAAATCATATACTTTAAAATGGTTGAAATGGTAAATTTTATGTTACAAGTATTTGACCACAACAGAAAAAAAAAAGATCCTATTCTGTATAAATGAAAAAGAAAATAATTCCATTTAACTTTTCTGGAATGGTTGTGCCAGTTAGTTTGGGAGCATGTTAGTTGCTTTCTTGAAACTGCCCCTTACTCTTCATGACTATTTTTCACACAATGTATGTAAAACTAGAATGTCTTTTCTAAAAGTATTAACTTTTTACATGTGCATGTATGAAATTAAAATGTTATCAATTTGTTAAATGCTTTTATTTATTTATTTATTTTAATGTTTTATTTTTGAGAGAGAGAGAGAGACAGAGACAGAGTGTGAGCAGGGGAGGGGCAGAGAGAGAGGGAGACACAGAACCCGAAGCAGGCTCCAGGCTCTGAGCTGTCAGCACGTGGGACTCGAATCCATGAACTGTAAGATCATGACGTGAACTGAAGTCAGATGCTTAACTGACTGAGCCACCCTGGCACTCCGGTTAAGTGCTTTTAAAATCATAAATGGTTATGGGGGAAAAGAGACATCTCTATGCAAACACAACTGGAAAACTCCAGTTTCCTATATAATAATGTAAGCAATTTTCTAACTTTAGGCGTAGAAGTATGCATTTTTTTCCTGTCTATTGAAAAGCTGCAAGGGAAATCTCTTAAATAAAAACATTAAAGTTTATACCAAGCAGGATTAGGATTATTCCATTTTGAACACTGATGTGGAAAACAATAATTTAGTAAGCATTTTAAGAGCAGTTATTTCCCTAAACAATTTTGTTTTGTGGCTAACTCCCAATAAATATTACTGGTTATCTTTGTACATAGGCATTTTAATTAAAATGCTACTATTCCTTCAGATTAGAATTTTTTTTAATTTTTTTCTTAACGTTTATTTATTTTTGAGACAGAGAGAGACAGAGCATGAACGGGGGAGGGTCAGAGAGAGAGGGAGACACAGAATCTGAAACAGGCTCCAGGCTCTGAGCTGTCAGTACAGAGCCTGACGCGGGGCTCGAACTCACGGACCATGAGATCGTGACCTGAGCCAAAGTGGGCCGTTTAACCGACTGAGCCACCCAGGTGCCCCTCCTTCAGATTAGAATTTAATATATCCTTTCTTTTCAAAATAATTTACAACTGTAAGCAGTCATAAAATTAAAGGTTTTCTGAAACTGCCATCAAACAAGTAAATAAATCTTATCTGGATATTGTTCAAAAAATAACAAAAAATGTGACCAGAACCTATAAACAAATCCTATAGAAATAAGACAAATGTCATCACAATCATCTCAATAAAATATTTGCATTTAAAAGTAACCATTGTAAAATTTAAAAAATCTGTTACATTGGGGCGCCTGGGTGGCTCAGTTGGTTGAGCGTCCGACTTCGGCTCAGGTCATAATCTCACGGTTCGTGGGTTCGAGCCCCGCATCAGGCTCTGTGCTGACAGCTCAGAGCCTGGAGCCTGCTTAGGATTCTGTGTCTCCCTCTCTCTCTCTGTCCCTCCCCCGCTCATGCTCTGTCTCTGTCTCAAAAATAAATATAAACATTAAAAAAATTTTTTTAAATCTGTAAGTTTAAAAGAATAAAGGATTCATAGTCAAAATATAAAAATGGAATGAAATGTTGCTTATTTATTTATTTATTTTATTTTATTTTTTTAAAGTTTATTTATTTTTGGGACAGAGAGAGAC